CTCAGCCTGACCTTGTATGGAGTGTGACTGTGCTGGATGGCTCGATCCAGCTGTTTGGGCTGGCACCAAGTCAGTGGCACCTTGTGGTTGGTTGCCTCGAGGCTGCAAAGGAAACACAGAGTGTGAGGTATTGCTGTTTTGCATTAGTGGTGTGGGCAGCAAGCTCTTGATGAAGGACACGGAAGAATGTTTTATTCTGTCCTTGGAATTTGAATGGAATCAGATATGGGCCTGCTTACATTCAAACCACCTTGTGCTGTGACTGCCAGGGCTTCTTGGTGATGTCCTTGTAGCTTGCAGTCACTGAAAACACAGTGGCATCCTTCATGTGAGAGATGCTGAGCCATAGCTACCTTCTGGTACATCCTGCTTCTCTCAGATTTTCCTGCAATGTAGGATAATCTTCTTTTCCTGCTCTTAAGCAAAGTGCAGTCCTGCTGTCCCTGAGCTTGTTTTAGTTGTTGACAAATTCTAAGTTTTATGTTTTTTCCTTCTGTGGATGTTTGCAGGACAAAAGTAACTTGAGATTTTTTCAGAGTGTTTAGAGGTACTGTGGCTCTGATGCCTGCTAGGTTCCTGTGCTTGGGGATGGCAGATAGACCTAGTACTCCAGAAATGTGGAGTCTGTTCCATTTGTGTCTAGCTGGAGCAGCGAGAGTTGGGCCCTCTGTGTGGAGTGGGGGGTGGAAGTCATACTGGGTTTTTAATCTGCCATCTGAAAGTGATTCCAATTTGAATTTCTGCTTTGTGTTGAAGTGTCTGAGTGATCTGCAAATATGTTACTGCATGGGTGTTTAAGGGATAACTTTAGGCAGAGGAGATGAGCATTTTGGTATCAGGGGAAAACCAGAGGCTTTTGCTCTGACTTGTTCTCCACAGCTGCTTTTTCCCTGTAACCACGGGAGAGGTCTGAGGAGTCTTGAGTCCCATGCCCTAACAAGATGGGGTAGCCTGTATGCAGCAGCCTGTGGTGTGGCCTCTTGCCAGTGTTCTCCAGAAGAGAACACTGGGGCTGGTGAACTGCCAGCTCTTATCGGTGCATATCTTTCTCTCTGGCTTCTTGAAAAATAAGTATATTATTTCAGGATGGTATAAATCAACTGGTCGCTAAAACGGCAACAGGTGCCTGGGGATAACTCATGTGCATAACACTTCCAGCTTTCCTCCTTTTCTGAAACCATGGTAGAGACAGAACTTCAAGCAAGGAAATATCAAAGGGATCCCTTACAAAAAGAAGCTTTCAGCTTGTCTCTCCAGGACTGAGTGTTGCTGAAGCAGTTTGTAACCGTGTGCTCCCTAAAGAGCTTTGTCTTAATGGAGCTGACTGTCCATACTACTTCAGGCTTTTTCTTCTACTTGAACATTAAAGCTTTTCTTACTTTTATTTTTAACCCAACTGCAACTTGATCACTCTCCCAGAGATCAAGTTGACTTTTTTTCCCCCCGCTTCCTCAGTCAAAGTTGTCAGAAGAGAAATACCTCTTCTTGCTGTTTTCTGTGTTCCTGGTCACTGATGGCTGCTTTGTGTTAGAGCAGCTGGGCTCTTCTGTGACAAACTGAGATGTCTCCCTGACTGGTACCTCCTTTCACATTTCTATCACATGTAAACGTTTTGGATGGGGAGGGTGGGTAATCTCCCTTGCTGGCTTTTCTCTCCAACTAGCTGCCACCAGGCACATCTTTGACTGCAGGGCTGATAGAGGATGTGGGAAGGGATACATGACTGATGGTATTTAGTGTCTTGGCTCACCCAGGGGTGCATGAGTGTTCTCCACTCCCTGGCAGAAGAATCCCTGGCATGTGAGAATGAAGGTGGCTCCCAGAGAAGATATTTTGAAAAGGACACACCTTGCTTCTTTGCTTCCCCTCTTCCAGGAGGGGTTAGGAAATGGGTTCCTGTTCCTGCTCCTTGAGTAAACTAACTGAGCAGTGAAAATTGCCTCCTGGGCCGTGTCAGCAGCGGAACAGCAGAGGGTACTGCAGGGCCAGCTTGCTTGGCAGAGCAGCCGGGGAGGGCTGTGCACACCAGCCCGGCGCAGGAACGGAGGCAGCGCAGCCCTGCCCGGAGCTCTTTGTGCCGGTGGGTGAAGAGATGCAGAGCCACATGCTGAGCCTGACAGATACTGATGTATGCAAATGTCAAGTGAGGAAAATATGCTTTGCTTCCTAAAACCATGCGTCCTGCTATGTTGACACGGCACACTACATCTCAGAAAGCAAAGCACTTTGCTGAATGTCAAGAGTTATGGCTTTTTGTCTGGGAATTTACTGTGGCATGCAGAGCATCACAGCTGTCTGAGAAGATGATGTGTCTTGTGTGATTCCTTCAGCACGTGCCTTCAGCCATGGGCTGGCCCAGAGGAAGCTGGCTGCCCCACATTTGTGTGTCCTGTAGGAACTGGAGCGATACCAGCATTACCTGGCAGTCATTGGAATTGCTGTATTAGAGCAGGTCAGTTGTTCATCTTGCCCAGGTTTCAGCGTCTGAGAGGGCAGCCTGATGTCTGGAAGTAATGCCTTGGAGAAGTCACAGGACACCTGACTGGAGAAAGCTGTACTCATTTACCAGTGAGGGACACTTTCTACTGATACCCAGTCACAGCTATTTTAGTGGGTTTTTGGCTTCCTTGTGCTCTTCTCTTCCCCACACTTCAAGACAGACTAAAAACTGGTGATGTGCAAGGAGAAGGCACTGAATATTCCTTTACCTTACAAGTGATCTTGCTGCTTCTGCAAGACATTAACAGAGCCTTAAGAAAAAAAATGATCATGAATAGAAAGAGATGCTCATGGGGTTTTCTGCAGCCCCTTGTTTTGCCCCCATGAGGAAAGCTTGACAACAAGCCCCAAGATGATCTTTTATTGCTCTTAACAGAAGAATATCCAGCCCCATAATGGCTGGGCCACTACAAAGGTGATGTACCACCAGCTGAGCAATGACCACAGGTGTGTGAGGTCAGGCCATGGAGCTGTGGTGGATGAGTGCTGGAGGTGAGGGTCTGCTGTGGTGCAGACCCCTGAGGAGAGCCATTTCCTCCCTTTCCCCATGCCTAACAAGATGGTCTCCCAGTGGCACCCAGAGCCAGCACCCTGCCCTGCTGCTGACTTGTGTTGTGGCAAAAACCCCTACCAAACATTAAGCAATAGAATCAAGCTCTCTCTCATTTTATCTTGTTTTTCTTTCAATTTTTTCCCCTCCCATGGCCATGCTGTAACTTTTCCACCAGCTTCAGGCTTGCAGTCCTTCAGCCAGGGATTAATTTGTGACTCCTTGCCCTCACACCTGAGCACTGGTGCCAGTAGATGGTGACTTCCACTGAAAACATGACCACCAAGTGTCCAGGAATGCTGTTGCTGAGATGTAAGGTACAACTGTGGACAGTCCCTCTACCAAAGTCCATGTCAGAGCCATCTGTGGGAAGCCAGATAAGTTTTCCTTTGGGCAGTTGCCATCTGTCTAAGTGCTTTATCGTTTTTCACTTTAGTATTAAATTCTCCTCAAGTTAATCAATAAACATGCTTTGCTGTATTTTACCTAATACCCTCTGAAGTGGCAGGAGCGGGTTGCATTCTTCTTCCCTCTGCCCCCACACCTGCCCACGTGTCAACCTTGAGGAGCCTGTGGGGCTGGTGGTGTGGGGCAGCTCCCCCGTGACCCCCAGGAGCAGGGACCGCCTCCTGTGAAGGCATTGCTGGCACCACTGTATGCCAGGTGGAACCTCTTGGGAACTTTGGCCCTGGAAGGGAAGCTGCGCCAGGGAGAGAACCAGCAGAATGGAGCACGTGAAGGTGGTAAAATGGTATGTGGCACATGCATGGAGAGCTCTGCCTCTTTGTCTGTCACTGCAGCAAGGCTGTCATGCTCCAGAACAGCCTCTGCCTTGAAGACTACTTTTAGATGACCTCTTATCCATGCCTAGTTTTGCCCCAACTTGCCTTTCCTGAAACAGCAGACAGTGAGCACCTTTTCTGCTTTTCCTTGGTGAAGCATTGTCTTTTTTTTTTTTTTTTTGGGTCCTTTTTCTGAACTGTAGTCTTCAATCACTTCTCTGCCTGACAGCAGCTCTATGTTCCCTGCCTGGGCTGGAGGAGTGGAGGTGGTGGAGGGGAGGATGAATGCAATATTTCATGTTGTTTGGAGGGAAGGGCTGTGCACCACTGGCTTCTTCCTGGCCTGACATGGATCCATCGTGATGGCACAGTATTACCGGCAGAGACAGCTAGGCATTTATTTTTGTCACCTTGATCCAGATGCAGAAAATCTCAGTATCTGGTCCACAGAAAGTGAAAAAGCAAATGGTAACATATGGAGATACAGTGGACCTGAGAATCACTGGTGGGAGAAGAGTAAATGTGACAGGATTTTATTTTTGTTTTCCTGTCCTCCATGTGAACTTGGCTAGTATTTCTTAAGAACAGGGGTGATTTTTTTAGGGTGTGTCTTGAACAAATAGTCTAAAGATCTGGAGAGTGTAGGCTAACTCTGGCAGTCTGACTAATGATCTTGGTCCTTTAAAACCGCCTCTCCTGTGCCAGTCACGTTTCAACCATGCCCTCCAAACTCTCTTACCCTTCCTGCTCTCTGCTCTTTTCATTTTCCCCCAACCCTCTGGTGATGCACCTCTGAGGAGGTTTACGTTCATTTAATTTCCATTGGTGAACAGGGACAAATCTGCAAGTGTGGTGAGTTCCCTAGATATGATTAGAATAGATGGATTCCTGTTATTCTGGATATTTGTGTTGCCAGTGCCTTTCTTGTGTTTGTGGATTCATGAGACTGATCTAGCAGAGGTTCAGCTTGGTGTAACCCAACTGAAGCAAAAGGCCCACTGAAGATGGCAGGGGGTGGGGGTGTAGTTCTTGGAGCCAAGTCTGTAAAGATGCATGCTGAATTTGGACCAGCATTCCTGCCTTCCCAAACCTGTTTCTCTAACAGTGGTAAACTTTTTGCACCTCAGTAACTACTGAATGTGACTCTCCTTTTCATGGCTCTTCCACAGGATGAAGATGAGACGCCATAAACTCTTTCTGACTCTCTGCATGGCTGGTCTCTGCCTCATCTCCTTCTTGCACTTCCTCAAGGCCCTTTCCTATGTCACCTTCCCCAGGGAGCTGGCTTCGCTTAGTCCCAACCTCGTCTCCAGCTTCTTCTGGAACAATGCCCCCGTCACGCCTCAGGTCAGCCCTGAGCCAGGGGGTGCAGAGTTCCTCCGCACACCCCTGTATTCCCACTCCCCTTTGCTTCAGCCCCTGTCTCCCAGCAGAGCCAGCGAAGAGCTGCACAAGGTTGAGTTTGTGCTGCCAGAAGACTCAACGGAATACTTTGTCCGTACCAAAGCTGGTGGCATTTGCTTTAAACCAGGCACCAAGGTGTTGGAGAAGCCTCCCGTGGGAGGTCGGCAGGAGGAGCGAGCGGATGGCGCAGCCTCGGGGCGGCCGGCTCGGAAGCCGCTGAGCGCCAGCGGAACCAAGCGCCGCAAGTGGGTGGAATGTGTGTGTCTGCCAGGCTGGCACGGCCCCAGCTGTGGGGTCCCCACCGTGGTCCAGTACTCCAACCTGCCCACCAAGGACCGCCTCGTGCCGCGGGAGATCCCTCGGCGGGTCATCAACGCCATCAATGTCAACCACGAGTTTGACCTGCTGGATGTCCGCTTCCACGAGCTGGGAGACGTGGTGGATGCTTTCGTGGTGTGCGAGTCCAACTTCACGGCCTACGGAGAGCCGCGGCCCCTCAAGTTCCGCGAGATGCTCCTCAACGGCTCCTTCGACTACATCCGCCACAAGGTGCTCTACGTCTTCCTGGACCACTTTCCCCCCGGCGGCCGCCAGGACGGCTGGATTGCTGATGATTACCTGCGTACCTTCCTCACCCGGGACGGCATCTCTCGCCTCCGCAACCTGCGCCCGGACGACGTCTTCATCATCAATGATGCTGATGAGATCCCGGCCCGTGATGGCGTGCTCTTCCTCAAGCTCTACGACGGCTGGACAGAGCCCTTCGCCTTTCACATGCGCAAATCGCTCTATGGCTTCTTCTGGAAGCAACCAGGCACCTTGGAGGTGGTCTCGGGCTGCACCATGGGGATGCTCCAGGCTGTCTATGCTACCGACGGGATACGTTTGCGACGCCGTGAGTACTACACCATGCCTGGCTTTCGGCAGTATGAGAACAGCACAGGACACATCCTGGTGCAGTGGTCGCTGGGCAGTCCCCTGCACTTTGCTGGCTGGCACTGCTCCTGGTGTTTCACCCCAGAGGGGATCTACTTCAAACTGGTGTCAGCCCAGAACGGGGACTTTCCCCGCTGGGGTGACTACGAGGATAAACGAGACCTCAATTATATCCGGGAGCTGATCCGGACTGGTGGCTGGTTTGATGGTACCATGCAGGAGTATCCCCCTGCTGACCCCAAGGAGCAGATGTATGCTCCCAAGTACCTGCTCAAGAACTACCAGCGGTTCCGCTACTTGTTGGAGAACCCCTACCGAAAGGTGGAGGGTGCTGGGTGAGGCGACCGAGGCTCCAGCTTGGGTGGGAAATCAGAACTTTAGAACAAAGGGAAAGAGTCGGGTGTTTTCGTCTGTTCCTGTTATTCTTTAGTTTCCTTTGTTTATGGGCAGGGTGTGCCTTTTTTCTGGGTCTCTGCCCTCCCTCACTTCCCATTCTTCTTCCCTTCATCCCAGGGTGATGCCTGGGAACCCAAATTCCTCAGTCACATGAAGGGAGGCCTGGACAGGAGGGAGAAAGACCTGTTCTGCAGTAGCGTAAAGACTTTCTTGTATCTTCCAAACCTCTCCTGCTGGCTGGAGAGAATCTCTGCAGCCAGCTGGCAGATTTTCCTCCAGGGAAGGCTGAGAGGGTCCCATGGGGAGAGAGGGCAGCTGTTCCCATCCACCCTCATCCTTTGTGGATTGGAACAAGCATAGATGCAAGCCTGGGCTATTCAGTGAGCATGTGAGTCAGCAGGCACAAACTCTTGTGAGTGGTTGTGTGTGCAGATGTGTGTCACTAGCATTTTTTGGATGAGTGAATGTTCAAAAGCATCTCAGTATGCTTGTTTTTTGTTTCTGTTTGTTTGCTTGTTTTTGTTGTTTTTTTTTTTTACTACCTCTGTATTCAGAGGGTATTTTGGGGAAAGGAAATCCTTTGCTTCCAAGGTGTCCATCTCAAGTTGCAGCCCCTTGCACAGGCTTAATGCATTCTGTCCTGGGCTGGGTCTTGCCCCAGTGTTCTAACAATCCTGCAGGAGATAGACAGGAAGCAGAGGAGAAAGCTGGGTTTGAGGGGTTTTTCTGTTCATTTTTCCCCCCTGCCCCCAAAACACTGCATGGACTTGTCCTACAGAAGCCAAAGCATCTCCCCTGTGGTACGTGCTTTTGTTGGGGCTGGGATAAGCTGCAGGGGACTCAGTCAGATGGTGGGAGTGTATGTTTGCAAGTGCATGGTTGCCTGTGTGCATGAGTGCTCACATGCATGGGTTTGGTGTGCACCTGGATGTTTGTTACCAGTACTGGGGGGGAAGGGCTTGGCTGTGTGTGCTTGCAGAAAATGGTGGTATCCAGAAGCTCTCGTGTCAGTGTTGGCATGGATGACTTTTTGGGCAATTCATAGGAGAAGACCAGGGATAGCAGTGGCTCTGCATAGCAATGCTGTGCATGTGGGACTGTTGCATGCCTCTCTGGCTGCCTCTAGAGCCCTGCAGGCTGTGCCTGTTGCAGGGCTGCTGCTTACACATGCTGGCTACTCCTTCTTACTATGGGGTAATAAAAGGGAGAAGAGGAATGGCAAAGTTCTGATTGTTGTGGGCAAACAAATCTTGTCAAGGCACAGGGTCAATCTGTCTGCCCTTAGGGTGTGAGGGAGCTCACGAAGAAACACGAAGAAACGAAGAAAAGTTATGGGCAGATTCTCCCTGGGGGCAAGAGACTTTTTGGGGACCACCGTGCAATTCAGTGTGTGCAGCCCACATCTGCAGCCTGGGCCACGTAGACAAGACCATGGAGAGGAGAAGGGATTTAGGAGGGTGCTAGTTGCAGCTGTTTGGGCTGGTGTCTGCTCAGGCCATGGGCAGTGAGGATTTGGCCTGCTGTTGTATTGGGTCATTCAGCTCGCTGAGGAGGCAGATTCTTGTCTCCACCCTTACCACCACCCATCCTTAGCAGATGGCTTGACAGGGTGCCCAGAGCCTGGGTCGTAGTGGGCAGAGGGTGAAAAACATAATGAACTTGCTCTCTTAGCCTTGCAGTGGAAAGACTGACTCATGTTCCAAGCAGGAATCATATGGAGGAGAATAAAGAGGAATGTGTTGGCACAAAGAAGTGTGGCCCTTCTGGTCAGCTGTTCTAAAGCAGGAGGGTTTTCATTGCCCTTAACTCCATCAGAGCTCCGTGGTCCCGTGTTGCCCAGCACTTGCCATTGTGCTTCATTCCTACCTATGTCTCTCACTCTTTTTCCCTCCTAGTCCCCTCCCCAGAGAAAGTGAAATTATCAACAAAAATAACTTGCTTCCCTAGTAAGGCTGAGACTGTAATAGAAAGAAGATTAATGCCTTTTTCTGTTCAAATTGAGATGTAGTTCAACTTAGCTCCTTCCACGTGTTGTTATGCCATAATGCCTGCTTCGAAAAACTGAAGGAACTTCCTTTCTGTTATTATTTTTTGTTTCTTTAGAATCACTGTTCTCAGTGCTGTTGTGTGTTCCCCACAGGCAGAGGAGCCCCTTTGGGAACTGGGTGGACGGACAGACAAACTTTGCTAGGCAGAATGCTCTTCCCCCAAAGGGAAGTTGTGGCTCTTTGAAGTCCAGACTTAATGATGTAGCAGAAGGAACTCCTGTCACAGTCACGGAGTTCTGGTGCTGAGCAACTGTGCAGAGGTTTTAGGTGTAGAGAGATTATAGAGAAATGGAGTCCTAGCTGAGAAAGTTTTAAGCAAGATGAAAGCCATAGCACTGAGGATGCAGCACAGGGGGAAGATGCTTTCCCCAGGGACAGCTGGAGGAGGGCAGGTGTGTTAGCTCATGCAATTTAGCAGCAGAAAAGTACGGAAGGAAGAAGCCATTTCTCATTTTTACTCTGAGGAAGGAGCCTGAGGTCTGGTCTTGGACTTTTTGTCTTTACCTTGTCTCAGTGATAATACAAGGCCAATACCAGGCTTTGCTGGAGACAGAGGACAAAGACAAGCCAGTCTTTGCGTGGGTGCTTCGGCATCAGCAGAGCCCCACTTCAGCAGCAGCTGAAGTTCATGTGTGCTGGGATTGCACCTCCTTATCTCCCACAGTGGGAGAAGCCTCTCCTCTGATATCAGCCCTTCCCATGCACGACCATCCTTGGGGATTTTTAGTGCACAGCAGTCATGTTTTCAGTGTTGAGATATGGCCCTTGTCTCTTGGGAGTTTGATAAGCCCATAGCTGCGGTATCTGCTTCTCCTGTTTCTGAAGTACAGCCTGTTGCCTTTTCTCCTCCATTATTTGCTCCACCATTCTCATCTTCTCTCTCTGTTTTGTCTTTCCCTTCTGCTCCCTTGGGCTGGAGAAGAACGTGTTGCTGGAATAGGAATTCTGGGGCTCTTGTGCAGGACTCCTGCCCTGCCTGCCTCCTGGGCTTACTTCCTTATTCTTAGGAAATTAAATTTAATCCAGACTTCTGCTGTAGTGGGAGGAAGGGACTTTACAGATGACTTGCATTCTTTATTGTTTCTCTTTCTCAAGAATTGTTTGAACATTTTTTGATTTAAGGTCAAACCAGTCAATGTTTCTGTCTAATTTGTCTGGCTAACCCTGTGTTTATTATCCTTAGGGAGCTAGAGTGCTTGTCATTAAAAATCTTCCTCTTGTCCCTGGAGGGAACAGACACTACTAAGCTGGCTTTCACACAATGATTTTCCAAGGTGGTGGCTTAGCCTCTGCTCAGCCTTGCCTGTGCTGCCTGTTGGGACTTCTGCAGCCAGCTTCTGGTGGGACAACCACTCCTCCAGGGAACTGCCACAGGAGAGATGTCAAAAGTATGTGGGTGTGTGAGGTGGTGAGAGAGGCAAAGCAGGAAGCAGGTTTGTGTCAGATCCTTGTTTCCCAGTGCTGGACTCTGTGGTGAGCACTGACGCTCCTTCATCTTATCTGAACCAGGTTCTGGAATTTGAGAAGGGAAGGACCAAGAACCTTGTCCTGGCACTGGGCTGGAACTGGGATTAGACCACCAGAGTCTGATGTCTGCGGGTTGTTGCAGACAGCGGGCAGTGAATCCTGCTGTCTCTCTTGGACCAAACTGTCTAGTGGACTGAGGAAATACATCACTAACCTTTTCATTCTCAAAAGATTTTTTACCTCCAAGTTGGTAAAAAGTGGGACCAGGAAATAGGTGAAGCAGTGTGTGGCACACCCAAGCCATGCTGTTCTTTCTGTTTGTCTCTTGTTGTCTTTCTTTGTGCCTCTGACCTACAAAGAGATTGTGCTCCTATATATGGCTTTGGACTGGAGAACACCTCTTCCTCTTTTGCCCCAAGTGAAAGTAAGGAAGGGTGTGGTATTTGGTGGACCTGCAGCAGGTGAGCTTGCTAAAGCAGAGGGAGTAGGGCAGGTCAGACATATTTGCCCATCTGAGGGTAATGCGACACCCAAGTGACAGAAAAGATATGGTGACTTTGTGCCTGTGGTTGGTATGGAGGATGACATGCTCAAGCCCACTCTTGCTGTTGCTTTCTCTGATCCCTGTGTCCTGCTGAGGTGTTTGCTGTTGTGCTGCCCAGGCCAACCTACTCTGTCTCTGTGACAAGTAAACAAGGAAACCGAGTTGGCATGGAGGGAGAGTGTCAGAGCAGAATGGCTGTTCATTCTCCCCTGCCTGCATGGCTGTTTCCTTGTGGGTTGGTGTCTCTCCCCCTCCTCAGTATCCCCAGGGCTCTCTCCCTGTGTCCCAGCTCCTGCCGGCAATCTCTGTGGCTGCTATGCCTCCGCACTGTGAAGACGCATGTCCAGGGTCACTCCTGGTTCCATTAGTGAACACTGGTGGTGAAGAGGGAAGGGATGCCTCGTCCTGGCTTCACTGACCTCTAACCGTGGTGAGAAAGGAGGGAAGTGAGTGGGAGAATGTATCCTGTATCCCTAAGCCCCTCCTTTCTGATTTCTGAGACATTGGACAAACTCACTCCTGTTATGGAAAGGGAAGGGGAGCTGGAGGGTAGGGAGGTGGCAGGAGGGGCTCAGATCCAGCATTGAGAAAGAAGAACTGTTTCTAATGCAATACACTGACATTTTAAAGCTTTGGGCACTACAGGTAATGGATTAAGAAGGGATCTGAAATACTTTGAGACTAAGAATTCAAACCACTGTTTTTTCCTGCCTGTGTGGATGATGGTGCAGTATCATCCTGGAGGTGGTCCAGCAGCACTTCTGAGCCTGGGGTCCACCTGGACCTACTGCTGGTGTTGCTCCTGGAAGGGCTCCAGGACACCCTGCTTTGGACAAAGAATGCGTGGACTTGCCAAAAACTAAAAAGAAAAGAAAAAATAAGAGCATCTGCAAAGCTCCTTTCAACTCTGTAATTTATAAACAGCAAGTAATAATGAACTTTTTGTAAGGATAAATCAAATGTACATTCTGAAATCATTTTCTCTGTAAATGGTTGGATTTCATTTCACCCTTAAAGGGATGCTTAAAAGGAGGAGATAATAAAAATTAAAAAAAATGTACAAAGTATGAAAGGAAACCAAGATGTGTGTGACAGCTTTTATTTCTGATTGCCTGGCCAAGAGGGAAAATGCTGGAAAATGGAGTGAGGGAGCTTCCTATCTTGGCAGGACACTGTTCCTAAGAAGGGAGATTGAAGGGGAGCCTAGCTGGTCTGGGGACTGATTCCTGGTTTTGTAGGCCCATGTCAGACCTAATCTGCATGTCAGGTGAGTATGAACATGTGAAGGCACGTGAGTGGGGAACGATGGCTGCTACGTGGCTCTCAGGAGAGCTGGTGGATGTGGGAACCGGCATCATCTCATAAAATGGTCCCTCGAGACCATCTTTAATCCTTTGGATGCATCCATTTTTCCAAGTAAAGACCTGGAAACACCAGAGCCCCAAATTAAACCTTCCCACTGCAGAAATGCCTCTCTGGTGGCTGATTTTTGGCACAGTGCATGAAACAACATGACCTCCTTGTTTTGGTTTATTTTTAAACCTGTCTGCTGTAGTTTTGGCTGTTCCCATTACTTGGTATCAAAGCCTGGTCCTGCTCTGAATCCTCCTAGCCATCTGGCCTCTGCAGTGCTTTTGGCAAGGGCCTTTTGCAAGCTCATGTGCCATCTACAGCTATTTAATTTTTTACCTTTTTAAGTGTCTTATGTTTCAGGTTCATTCCTGATTCCATTTAGAAATAGTGACTGTAAGCATCATAGGCTATTTTCCTCATAATTACTAGCTCCAGTGAATTCCATCGTCTTTCTTTCATCCATACCAGTCTAATTCTCCTCTTGTGGAAGGGTCTCATCAAACTAGAGGCTTGTGTTGTGCATTGCTGAATGCAATTCTGCTGCTTCTGTCTCCAAAACAAAGGGCATGAAAGCAACCTGCCACTCAAAATCAACAATTAAAATTTTCTGTTTAGAATTTTTAGCATTCTTAGTGATCACTGTATTTTTGTGCCTGAACAGGGGATAATCTAAAAATAGTTGATGACCAGCATGCTTGAAATTTCAATTTTTCAAGAGGGGAAGTATAAATCTATACACATAGTCCAATGGCAATTTAATGAGACAGTTTAGGATGTGAGAGTTGACTAGGTCAAAGGTTCTCCCATGTTATTTTTCTTGCCTCTAACATAAAATTTTTACTGACATTTGTATTATTTTTAAAAGTAACATAAATGGCATTTCTTTTGTTTCTTG